GTGCCTTCAACAATACGACTGACTGACTGATTTTAGTTTTACGCCGCTTTTAGCAATATTCCAGCAACATCACGGCTGGGGACACCAGAAATGGGCTCAACAATACGATCTGTAAGAGATTGAATATAGCAATTTGATGAAAATCTATTACTAGTACCATTATAACTACTGTATATAGAAAATGCAATAAATCTTCAGATATATATATATGTATATATAACGTATTACTACCTCTGGTCTGGGAAGCATGTAACTCCAGAGCAAATGTTGTATAGATTGTGTGTCCTCTTTAGAAAATAAGATATTTCATTCGGTCAATGAAGTGTGATGAATTGTATAATTACAGTTTTGAGAAAACTAATGCAAAGTGTGATTGTTCAATTTAGTTCTCTTTTATTCAAACTTCCTTTTGGATTACTCATTTTAAATCATCCTTGGCATTGTCAGTTTCTTGTTGATTGATGTTTGTGTAATTTATCAAAATAACCTAGCAATTCGTTATTACCTGCCATTTTCAGAAACCTGCACAACGCCTAAACAGACTTGCATCTATCGATTGGCCAGATAGACGAAAGAAAAGGTAGCGACAACACTCACCATACACATGACATCACCAGTCGTGAGTGACGAAGATGACGTCAATTAATTGCATTCCGCCCCTTTGTCTGGGAGTCCAGCAAGCTTTAGGGCATACACGACGACACTGGACTTGGAAAGAATCTACACCTCCACTGCTCTCGTCAAGGCCAACATGAGGACGAGGATGAGGCATCCAACCAAAGTAACAGAGGGATCTCCGCCCAGGGATGCCCCTTTATTGGGCTAACTGACCAACTCTTGCAATTTTCAATTTCATAATGTAATTTTTATTTTATTTTATTTTTGTATTGTAAGCTGTATGTTGTGTTATTGTATGATGTATATCATAGTGGATGTTTGGAGATAGTTGTGACATAGAGTGTTTGGCTGAATGCCAAATGTCCGATGCAGCTATGTTTTATTACTGTGTTAAGTTGTATGTTATTGTTTTTCACCATTAGCATGATTTTAGAAATAAATTTCATATCTAACATGCTATTTCAGGATAATAAGTGAACGAAAGTTTAACTGATGAACAATTACTACTTTGTTATAAATGATATATGATTTCTTAAACTGGACTGAGTTATGCCAAAATGTTTTGCCCTGTCTCTTTAGTGCTATATTACTAGTTATATGTATGATCTTTATTTGCCTTAAATGCTAATTCATATTCATGTTGAGAAAATAAAAAAATGAATCTTATTATATATTCTGTTTTTCTTTAAGTAAATGTCATGATAATAACAAATTGCTTGTATTGTTTTTAACAAGAGTTTATGATATGAATAAAGAAAAATGTTTACATTTAGCTCTTTGAAACGCATATGAAAACCTGTGAACCTGAAATTGAAACCGGTAACTGAAACTATGCGGAAACTATGTCGGATTGTTGGTAACTGAAACTATGCGGAAACTATGTCGGATTGTTGGTAACTGAAACTATGCGGAAACTATGTCGGATTGTTGGTAACTGAAACTATGCGGAAACTATGTCAGATTGTTGGTAACTGAAACTCTGCGGAAACCTGTTGGAGTCTTAATAACTGAAACCTTGCGGAAACCTGATGGATTCAAAGTTAACTGAAACTCAACGGAAACTTCTTGGAGTGTGGGTAACGGATACCTTGCGGAAACCTGTTGGAGTGTGGGTAACGGAAACCTTGCGGAAACCCTTAGAAAGTGGGTAATTGTAAGTTTCCGTTATTGCGGAAACTCAATGTAAAAGAACGGAAACTCACTGGATTCTAGGTGGAAACTTAAGTTTCAGTCCACTTTCAATCAGGTTTCCGCATTGCGGAAACCAAGTTATTTTTGCTGTGTATGTTGTTAAAAGTTTACAAAATGAAAAAGAATATAAGTTCGTTAAACATGAGTAACATATTTTCAGGCGTTTTATCATGATTGGTAGTCTATTCCATAAAAGAATATGCTTTTCTCCATAGTTTGTGTGTATAGTAAACATTGCATAGATCAATCGTACTGAAACATACACGGATGTGACCAAGGGGAAGAATGTGTAATTCGGCCCATTGTTTGTCTTAAGAGGCGATTAAACTGGAAACCTGTGATAAATACGGTTATAAATGGTCGTTAACAACCTATGATGGGTTGTAAGAAGCGACTAAATGGATTGGATGGTCTGATTCAGTGACTTGGTTGAAGGCATGGAAACTTACCCGGGATCGTTGCTCGTAAAGTTAATGGCCGATTGTTTGATACAGACTCGACGAAGTTTTGGCTGTTGTCACATAACTTGAAAATTGCTGCGTGTGACCTCTCACACACATTAAGGCACACACATTCTTTCCTTCGTCATTCATTTGTCAGAATGATATGTACTTACTGAATGCACCTATCTCTAAACTACACATGGACAGATATGGACTGATATTCACACGTACCAGAAAAGTCACACTTACAGACATTTGAGTGATTTTCAAAAATTCGTGCATGTTTATGTGATATGTTTGTACCCGACAACCTAAGCCAAAATAAATACTTTCGTATGGTAACAAATTTATCTCAGTTTATTCTACACTTTACAGTAATAAAATTGGGAAAACATATTTTTATATTTATTTTAAGCCCCCAATCCACCCAATCTTACTCAATTTTCCTGTGTCACAACACGCCGATGTGCAGTGGCCAGTTTTCAAAAGAATTTTTCTTAATATATCATAATTAATGATGTTACAGCTACATGCATGGCGTGGTTTAGCCTTTTTTGTATGCAAAATCTTTTTGTAAAAAAATGTTAAACTTTGTCACAAGGTTTGTCACTACCGTAACATCATCCCAAAAATTGCAATAATGATTACTCCCTGTACTGTCTTCTAATTCTACTTCATGTTTGCAAGCAGTGAGGAAACATGACTGTCAAAGACTGACACCCCAAAAAATCATTTTTCTGAATTTTATCGCAAAAAGGGTGTATACAAAATGACATCTAAGATTTTTGCATGTCCTAACCGTTACGGTGGCTACCCCTTAAACCAATTAATTTTGTGAAGCCAAAGAACACCAAGTACCTTCGACAGGTGGAGAAATCGTTTGAAACTATGTGCTCAGTAAACTTTGGGGACCAGTTATTGTTTTTAAACTGATATTGTTAGTGGCTGTCACTACCGTCACGGTCACTGCCGTTATATATATATATATATATATATATATATATATATATATATATATATATATATATATATATATATATTGCAGATTTCTTCATGCGGCTTTTCCACGTCAGGAAATATGCTCAAGGCGCAACAATAACAGATTAAAAGAGTCTCCAACATTTATACAGCAATATGTACACGTCCAAATAGAGTTCCTAATAATACATTGAAAGCAGGTATGTTTTGAGTCCTGACTTGAATGTGGCAATACTATCAGAAACTTTCAGATTGTATGAGAGTGAATTCCACAAGGTTGGGGCTGCAGATGAAAAAGTCCGGTTTCCAAAGGTTTTAAGCCTGAAGTTTGGCACAGACAGAAGCTTTGATTGGATGATCGAAGGCAGCGTTTGTTTGAGTAAGGAGTAAGCAGGTCAGAGAGATATGGGAGAGCAAGTCCGTGACGGGCCATGTAGGTCAAGCAGAGGATTTTGTAGTCGCTTCTTGCCTTGGTGGGGAGCCAGTACAACTGTTTAAGAACAGGTGTGACGTGGCAATATTTGGGAATCCGACTGATAATACGTGCGGCCGTGTTCTGCACCTTCTGTAACTTATCCATTGGCCTCTGACTGATCCCAAACAACAAGCTGTTGCAGTAGTCGAGCCTTGAAATCACAAGCGCCCTGACTAAGGCATGGGTGGCTTCAGCTGTAAGGTATTGACGGATGTTGCTGATGGAGCGAAGATGGAAACAGCAAGTCTTACATATATTGTTCACCTACGTTTCCATTGTATCAAAGTATATGCCTAGATCTTTGACAGATGAGCTTATAGGAATAAATGCATCGGCGATGGTTAGGTTATCATGGGTTTTGTTACGGTAAGGACATATTTTGTGACGGCAGTGACAATTTTCTAGTTTAACGTTATTTGTATTTAAATTTTCAATTCAAAGATATCGAATGTTTTGGAATCCTATTTATCATAAAAAGTTTGTATCAAATGAATAAAATCAATAAGCATATAAGTGTGATTGTTTTGTTACTGTAAGGACAGGGTAGTGTAACGGCTGTGACAAAGAAGAAACCAGCTGTGATAGGGCCGTTACAGTAGTGACATAATATACCGTTACAATATTCACTGCCGTAACATGCAGTCTTTACCTGTTTTTTACATGGCAGGGACATCCATAAGTGAGTCTTTTGCCTATTTCATATTCTTCAAACGTTCTAAAATATCTGACTGAAAAATTTCATTAATTATCTCTTAAAGTAAACATATAAACCTGGCTATTATTAAAAATGTCACTGCCGTTGTTGTGTCACTAGCCAAACCCATTAGCCATGTTATATTGTAAAACGACATATTTTAATATATATGTACATTACATGAATATCATATTTGGATTGTTTTCTTTTCAAAATGACGCTAAAAGTTCGTAACGGTATTGACGCAATGTCATGAAATTTCTAATAAAAAGGATAAATATGGAAAATAAACGTCGTTAAGATTGCATAATTTATGTTTTATATATTCAGAATACTATGAACGTAATCAACAACATTTCAAAATAAAACCAGAAAACAAACTTTGCCATTTTTGCCAACATGAAATATGCACGAATTTTGAGAATGACTCTGAGAATATCTCACTCACACAGAGAGAGAGAGAGAGAGAGAGAGAGAGAGAGAGAGAGAGAGAGAGAGAGAGAGAGAGAGAGAGAGGGAGAGAGGCACACACACAGACACACACATTCACACACATTCTTTTCTTCATCATTCATGATATGTCAGAATGATATCCACTTACCTGATGACACAACTTCCGTTATCGGCACACTGGCCTCGTGGGACATGTATCCAAGTATCGTGAAGACTACAAGACCAGCATACATGCTTGTTCCTTCACACAGAAAGGTGCACACAATCGCATTTCTGAATAAGATTAAAACAGAAACTATGTACATTAACACAATCAATCATCCACCAATTAACCTCTATCGGAGGTTTAAGTATTTAACTGCATCTTTACATTTCTGATACTTGAACTCAACAATGCATATCACGTAGCTTAGACAACCGAAACAAAAGTACTTTTGCTTTTAAGCAATGGTACAAGGGGGTTAAGACTCTATTTATTAAATAGTTATTAACTCAAAGTAGAAGCCAGGGAGAACCTTCTTTTCCAATATCAAGCTTACTTGTGGGTTCAACAGAAAGTTACGTTTTAAGTCCCATAATTTAAAAAATACAAGAAGATTACATGTATTCTATCACAAGTATTAGTTCTGGTTGGTCAGTCAGTGTCAAATCACAAAGAGACTTTGTTTCAAGAGTCTGAAAAAACCCCACTTGATTTAATATTCCGATGCTTGCTTAAACGTCTTTAGTTATACCTATTTCATGGTGACTTACAAATACACACGTTCAAAGCCTATCATTATGCAAATGAATATCTATTGTACATATTTGAGATTCCTTTCAGAATGGACCTTGAAATGCCAATGAGATCCTTTTAGATTGAACTTGCTATGTTAGTGAGATCTCTTTCAAACGTAACCTTGAAATGACCGTGACATGGCTTTCAAAATGAAACATGACATAAGGGATGTAGCCTGTCCTGATATTACCTGAGACAGTTTGTGTTGAACTTGGTGTAACTTGACATAGTGATGATACAACCCCAGGCCGGACCCAGGGAGTAGAACACCTGGAGACACGCCTCCAACCACACCTGATGAAGAAGAGAATATCACTTCAGGATTACCTTCTTATGCAAAATGAGTGGAAGGTCACATGTAACAGTAACATTCTTGAAAGAACATCGTATAAAAAGTATAAGCTGTACGTCTGGAGTCTTGAAGATTTGACAGTCCTTTGTATTCATTTTCGGGAACACTTTGGTCTACAATACTGAACAGGTGAACGCCTAAACCAATAGACAACACTGTTGCTTCTTTGTTTTCTACTATGCGCATCCAAAGGGGACAGAAATAATAATATTATACATTGGAAGTGGGTAAATTCGCTTTCATTTTGGCCATGAGGCAGTCTGTATATGTCACGTCACAGCAAAATGCTGTGAGTCTCTATATAAACAATGTTATCAAAGAAAAGTAGCCATTGAAATTCTGAGTAGATCATTGAAATACCACAGTTGACTACTATAAGCCATCAACAATGTGGTAAGTAAATCCTTCATCACTAATTGCAAGTATCTTGATAGTTTTATACATTTAAGATAGTTTACCTCTGAAAGGTCATTGACATCATGTTAGATATAAAATAATTTGATAATCAGATACTCTTATGAGTTCCCTTATAATACACGACCCAAACTCTGCTTATCATTGCTCTGTGACACAATACCTGTACTTCCAGAAGTTTACTGAAGTTCGGAGTGAAATAAAAGACAGCTCCATCGGTTCCTCCCGGTAGAGTCAGTCCACGAATGAGCAGAACAGTAAGGATGACATACGGTAAGGTTGCTGTTACATAGACGGCCTGAAATGTATCAAGGTGGAGTCCTTCATGTCACTGCTCTCGCAACGTACTGGATTGTCATACTATTGTAATATTGACATAAACGGGCAATAAAGTATTATATCATAAACATCACCCTCTTTGAACTATCCGCAACAATCAACACCAACACCAAATACAGTAGTTAATCTATCATATTTTATAGTACCTATAATGTAATGTTCGTTTAACAATGGGTATACAGGAAATCGCACCACACACAGAAAATGCTACAGAAAAAGGGTTTTCTTTTCTTTCAGTAACAACTGTTCTGTCAATCGTTCTCTCTACATTACACAAATGTCTGTCAATCTGACATGATATTTATACCTTTCCAACAGATCGCACGCCTTTCACCGCGCATATGAAGATGAGGAACCAGGAAGCCAGAAGACACAACGCCATCTCCCACTTGATCGAACCAATTTCGTCGATACCCTTTGAAATCCCCAGTGCCTTGTAACTGAATATATAGGTATGTGTAAGCTTTAACATCAGGTTCAAGAAAATTGCTCTCGTATACTTTGTTTGGCTGTGTAATCTGAACGTATGCCGGATTGATGCATCTGTCCCATTGAGATACTATGCCAAAGTTTATCATGGGTACCCCACTAAGCACATTGTACTGAACAGCCCTTAATGCCCGTAATACATGTACCATCAAATACCACATTTTAATATATTTTGATATGACGCGGTCAACAATCGAACATTCGACCCTATGCTCACCGAACAGACACACTATCCATGGTTAATATAATGGATGACATTTCAAATATCAATATCATCAGAAACAACAGGATGCATGAAGAGTTCCAAAAGGGAATTATGTTGTCTGCCCAGATATCATCATTTAGTATTTCGTGTGTGTGTCTGCGGCTATCTGACTACGTAGTCCCGTTACGGCAGTCGCGGCGATCCCCACATCCTCTCTTTCTCATTATAGCAAACGGAAAACTTCCACGTACTGCCAAAATTCTTCTGCTGCTGTACGATATTGATTGTGTAAATCCTCACTACTGTATGTTGTGCTGCTGAAGTCAGTAGTATTGAAGCTGTAGGACTTGTTGACCCAGTCACTTGTGGCATTGTACTCTGCACAAAAACATACGTTTAATATTATTTTACATGCATTGTCCAGTTGAATTATATAGAGATTTAGCGGACATTTAGAAGGATATAATCAGCATATTCAGGAACATGAAAGAAGCCCCAAAACCGTTTCAGTACCACAAGAATCCGATGCTTAAAGCACAACATATTGTACGATTCAACAAAATGATAGGGAAACACTTTTTAAGCATTTTTAAGTATTATACACTTAAAGTTGAATTTTAAAACCTGACAGATTTTATGGGTTTACATTTCACAACTTTACCATTTGTCAGGTGTAATGTACCACGTTATATTCGGGAACGGTTGAGATACCTCCAGTTAGTCTATGGTGCAATGCCTCGACACCAGCAACACAAGTGTCAGTGTTCCACGTGTTGTTGCAGTTCGTCCAGGGTAGGACGGAACTGAAAGAGGATATGGCGTAGTACATCGCCCAGCCACAGATTACGTTCAGGTAGACGGCAGACCCAACACATATGATCACCATACCAATGCCGATACCTGCACAAAAAATACAAATAATAACGTGATATGTTGAAGAACTGGTTGAAGAACAGCTTGGTGTTATACTGAGTTACCTTAAGAAGAAGTACACTCCAGTAGATGGCATCAATTTTGTCATTTGGCTTAATTTTACTTGAATTATAAGGACTAGTGTGAAAACAGTTTGATGTTATTTGGTTACATGCTGCATATAGAATGTAACCGAATTGTACCCACGTATAATGTTATTATTTTGTATTCCCACTGGATGCAATTTGTGTCAGGAAACATATCACAGTGGAAACCAAAAAGGCTGCTGTGTAGCCTTGTGGTTTAGGCGTACACCTGCCTGAACGCTTGATTCACCAAATGGTAACAGTTTGCGAAGTCCATTTCTACTGTGGTGAATTCTTCTGTGATATCAAAGAGCAACTAATTTCCTACTTCCTCACTCAAGTATACTCAACAATGTTTCAAAGGTTTGTAATCGCATAACTCTTATGTCACTTTTATATTTGCTCTAACAAGCAAACTGTTATGTAGCATATCATAAATATATGTTACTGTTGCAGTTGTCACCAACCTTTCATCAAAGGACACAGGCTCCAGACGTGGGAAGGACTCATTCCAGAAAACTGCCCCAGAGCAATCTCGAGAAAGACCAGAGGAAGACCACACAGCACAAGACACACGATGAAAGGAATCAAGAACGCCCCTAAAACAGACAGACATTTTGTATTTTTGTGCATGGTTCATGCTTGTAACAGGCGACTAATTGGGTCGAGTTGTCAGGCTCGCATACTTGGTTGACACATGTCATCGTATCCCAAATGCGTAGATCGGTGTTCATGTTGTCGATCACTGGTTTGTTTGGTCTTACCTAGATCAAAAAACTCTTTTAGAAGAGTGATCACAAACAGCTTCATACGAAGTAAGGTAGAAGCTATTTCTGTCGGTAACCAACGTCTTTTGTTCATAATATCATTAAACTGGAAAAGAAATATATATGTTAAATGCCCAATAAGCATAGACTACGACAGTATGCATCAGGAACACCGAATCAGTAATAAGTAGTGGTCCGCCAGTTTGTTTCTTGTTTAACACCGCACTCAGTGGCATTGTTGGCTTTTATAAATCATCAAGTGTGAACCAGAAAAAGAAACAATGGTCAACACCATATTAATTTGAAGATGTTCATATTTAGTACCTCCACCGTTTCTCTGGCAGATGTACGGGAATCGCCAGACGTTGCCAAGGGCTACGCAGAAACCAATCATGGACAGCAGGTATTCTATCTCGGAAGCCCATTGTTCTCTCTCTCTTTCCGTTCCATTTCACCATGCTCAGAGTCCCCAGACTCCATCAAATCTGACATAGCAACTTCTACCTCACATTCTCGACTGGAACGCATCCTGAAGAAGACATGTACACTATGACATGATCTAACTAACGAACTACAAAGTGTCCAAGGTAGTTATGCTCCATAAATTAAACGGTACTTTGAAGGTACACAATGTTTGGATAACGCCGGGTAATTAGCGTCGACTGTGTTCTGGCTGGATTGACGTACCTGCACCTGGAATGGCTGTATACTCTCGTTCTCCGGCACTGACAATTAGGGATGAGCAAGAGGTACTTTGTCAGTACCCGAGGACCTTGGACCTTTCACTGTAGTTCCTCCAGCAATCACGAGATGATGATGTTCTTTTTACCTCTTTTTTACTGCTGGTATTGCTTGTCCGTATGGGATAATGTCTGGATTCCGAATCAAAAAGAGGTCATACCAAGTGTGTGCATGTTTACAGTTTTACAACACTCAGTATTTTACACCGGCAATCATTAATGCGTTGTTATTATTTCCTTTCAAAGTATAATTAATAACATGTGCAGCTATGATTAGTCAGATAACTCATACAATTGTGTACAAAAATAGGGACCTAATGGTTCACGTCTTTGTGTATACAACTATATACAACTATATTGCAAAACGCTGTGTCTGTTACACTCTCAATTCACCTACACCTTTGGGCGTCAAAAAGTGTAGGGTAATGGGGGATCTCAAATAAACAGTTTAGATGATGTCCACCCTCTCATGTGAAATGGACTCTGCCAAGTTTCTGTATGTAAAGCAAACAATGCATTTCAACTTATAAGTTTATTCCTGGACAAAATAATTTTATATATAAATCGCATCTGTGAAAAGGTATTTTTTGTCATTTACACTGTATATATTTTTTCTCACTATAACAATATTGATAAAAATGTATGTAAATATTAAAATGGATTAAATACGTCACAATTTAATTCTGGACTCACAAAAGTCCAGAAACTCTCCGCACTGTTGGCACTTTCTCACAAAGGATTTGACCAAATTAAACATGCAGTTGGTATGAAATTATGCCAAGGATAAAAAAATGAAAATAAATAATTTCGGAAACTTAAATTTAAACTCGCTCGCCGGCCTATGGGCGAACAGTGGCCCATGGGCGAGAATGTTTAATTTCGATCAGAATTCATGTTTTGGAGGTTGTAAATGAATGAGTGTATGTTTATAAGCATCATGACACAAATTTCAACTCATTTTGACTTAATTCGACTAACTTAGAACGATATTAAACAATCTCGCCAACATATTTTTGGCCCATGGGCGAGATTTTTTTAATAGCGTTCTAAGTTAGTCGAATTTGTTTTTTTCTTCTTTTTTTTCTTTTTTTGGGGTTTTTTTTTGTTTGGTTTGGGGGGTTTTGTTTGTTTGTTTTTGGGGGTTTTTTTTGTTGTTTTTTGTTGTTGTTGTTTTTTGGGGGTTTGGGGGGGTATATGGATATAAATGCATACAGAGGTTGTTTTGCTAGTAAATGGTCTGGTATATATTTCTGCCTTAATTCCTGATAACAGTGTAAAATGAATATCATTTTCTATTCCAACGTTACATAAAGGACAATAAAGGTTTTTCTACCCTCATCAGTAATTAAAAATAACAAATCTGAACCATGTGTAGAATACATACAATATATAAACTCTGTCAAAAAAGAAACGCAACCCCTGTATTTTAGAGATTTTGATCTGAAGTTTTAGGACGACACGGCATTTTTATTATTTAAGACAGAAGTCTGAAATTTGGCAGAATAATAACCCAGATGGGCATGTTTAAAATTGTCATTTCAAAAGTCATCTCACAGACACCAGTTTGTCACCAGGGGGGCGTCTTTCTCAGTATCTCGTATGAGCACCACGCGCTGCAATCACTGCACGGCATCTCCTTGGACAAGAACGGATAAGACGCCGGATTCTTTCCTGGGGAATGGCTCTCCACTCCTCCTGCAGTGCAACGGCGAGCTGTTGCAGCGTCTGTGGCGGCGGCTGACGTTGACGTACGCGTCGATCAGAGTATCCCACAGGTGTTCAATAGGGTTGAGGTCTGGTGATTTAGAGGGTCATGGCAAGACATTGACGTTGGAATTCTGCAGAAAGTTCATTGTTGCACGTGCAGTATGAGGCCGGGCGTTGTCCCGTTGAAAAATCTGTGTCTGTTGGTCAATAATCGGGAGAAGGTGAAGCTCTAACACGTGGTTGATGTAACGTTGGGCTGTCAGGTTCCTGGAACGATCACCAAGTCTGATTTCTGGTTGTATGAGATGGTTCCCCAAACCATGACGCTTTCTCCGCCAAATCTGTCCACCTGTCGGACGCAGATGGGCGCAAAACGTTTCTGACGTCTCCTATACAGACGCTGTCTTCCGTCGTGACGTTGCAAAGAAAACGTGATTCATCAGAAAACCAGATTCGCCTCCAGTTTTGTAAAGTCCGTATCCTTACGTTGTTGCACCACCTGAGTCGTCGGCGTCGATGTAGGGGGCGTAGTACAGGTCAACAACTGGTCTACAGGCACGTAAACCCGCTTCTTTCAGACGGTTCCTAATCGTTTGAGCTGACACTCTCCTCAAACCTGGTATTTGTGTGGCAGTCACGGTTGGTAGGGCATGCCGATTACGCAGGTGATGGACCCGGATGTACCGATCTTGAAGGGGGTCGTGATTCTTGGCCTTCCACTTCTCGGACGATCGTTGGTCAAATTGAAGTTGTTGTAGCGGCTCCAAAGTCGGGATATCGTTGTTTTGTGAACATTTAGGTGCCGTGCAACAGTTCCAAAACTTTCTCCGGCTTGAACACGACCAATGGCGATATTTCGGTCGGCAGCACTCAATCGTGGCATTTTAACACAGCTTTTCGGCGACAAATGAATGAATATAATACGGAAGCACATGGGCTTTTATACACCCCTACATTAACTGCCATTTTCATGATTTGCATGTGTTTTTTTTGTGCGAAGTCACCATGAGGGTCATTTCATGCGTTGTGACGGAATAAGCAATAAAATACACTTATGCGTACAAATGCAGTTGTTTGGATGGTAATCTTCATTAATTACGTGTATCATTTCAATACATTCGAATAAAATTTAGTTTGGAAGCAATAACTTCATTCAAACGAATTTTTCATATCTGAGGACAGGGGTTGCGTTTCTTTTTTGACAGAGTTTACTTTCGTATTTGTGCTCTTCCTTTCTTGAGTTACATGACCCGTGAAGATCCGGGGTAGAATAGGTCTTCAGCAACCCATGTGCTTGCCATAAAAGGCGGCTATGCTTGTTGTAAAAGGCGACTAAAGGGATCGGGTGGTCAGTTTCGCTGACTTGGTTGACACATGTCATCGGTTCCCAATTTCGCAAATCGATGCTCATGCTGTTGATCACTGGATTGTCTGGTCCAGACTCGATTATTTCCAGACCACCGCCATATAGCTGGGATATTACTGAGTGCGGCGTAAAACTAAACTCACTCACTCACTCACTTGAGTTACATGTTATTATAAATGAGTCATTTATGTTATTTAATTTTGCACCAAAAGTATTTTTCATGTTTGGGTGCAGCTCAGCATGACAAAATGTCGGAGCGCAAAGTATGCTTTCATATAGATATAATGCTTTAAACAACGTTGAAAAATCTGTCTGTCTACTCTACACAAAACACGTCAGGAACAAAAATAGATAATCCACGTTCTCTGTGGGAAAGCAATTCTGTTTAACCATGTTAAAAATGTGTTTTGTCAAGGTGTATCGCCATGGACCAGCTCACAATGACTGTACTACCTTTGTACGGAATACGTTTCAGGTTACAGCTTTGAATGAAATCCACTCTCTTTGTAAGAAACAGCCAACATATAATTTGTCACATTTATCCTGAATTCACCGAAAGGGTAAACGTCTGGGCATTTTCATTCAAATCTTTTCGTCAAATTGTTGATTTGTCTCGACACACAGAGTTTCCTTGTGAGATTGTGGAGTTGTGTGGCAATGTTAGCATCTAAAGTAGTGTATAATGAGTGAGTATGGTTTTACGTCGGTTTTAGCAATACTCTAACAATATCACAATGGGCTTCACACATTGTACCCATGTGGGAATCGAACCCGGGTCTTCGGTGTGACGTGCAAACGCTTTAACCACAAGGCTAGTCAACCTCCCATTAAGTAGCTCATTGGCAGAATGCTAAGAATTGCATGCAATACAGCACACATCTAAATACTGATAACCTCTGCTGAAATATATTTAAAAGACACCATTTATTACATAACATCAATATTCCATTTCAGATTTCCGCGCAATACTATGATAACGTTTGACGAAACAATATGACACAGAGAAGTAAGAGCTTTTGAATTTTATGCAAAAAGTACTATGTCACAATCAAGTACATATTAAACGCCTCTCTCTCTCTCTCTCTCTCTCTCTCTCTCTCTCTCTCTCTCTCTCTCTCTCTCTCTCTCTCTCTCTCTCTCTCTCTGATGTTGCTCTCTCTCTCTCTCTCTCTGTTGGTATCTCTCTCTCTCTCTCTCTCTCTCTCTCTCTCTCTCTCTCTCTCTCTCTCTCTCTCTCTCTCTCTCTCTCTCTCTCTCTCTCTCTTACTTACTCATCACCAACACGGTGTCAGCATCAACAAATTCATTTTCAATTCAGCAACGCATTGCCAGTAAAACGTGACCGTCATGAAATCGGTTCAATCTTGCTGAGTGAAGTTTTAACAACACCATTGAAGCGAAAACCCTGTCCATATTCATTACAAATCTCAGCCAAAAGCAGAATCGATTGCACAATTGTGACTATATCGTGAGCAGATATTTATTGCAGCAGTATTGCAGCTGTATAATCGAGTCAGGACCAGACAATCCACCGTTTGTCACCATACGATGACAGAGCGTGTGTTTATGAATCACTATGAAATATTCGCAAAAAGGTGAGCGCATCCTGCCCCACCGGGGTCACCCGTCATAAACATATGCTAAGTCTAGTTATTTGTTCACCTGAAATAATTCGGGAACGTATGGTATAAGTCAAAATAGGGAATTTCATGGGACATTATTTTGGTAACTGATACATCAAATTTCCTCCACATGTCTTCCATAAAATTTATTGAAAGCTTTATTGAGACCTTGAATGTTGTAACCTTGACCAAACAACTTCTGAGCAGTGGTGTCGTGACGCTATTCATGACGAAATCCGGATAAAAAGAGCAGGCTCGATTGTATGCAGAAAAAAAACATCCGCAAGGTGGGGAGCACAGTTGTTGCCCATGGGGATGCCTACTTCTTGGCGAAATGTTTTACCCCTAAACTTCACAAAGATGTTATCAATGAGCAAGTCGAGCATTTCACATCTTTTCTCGTTGAATTTGAAATGACATTTGCTTTCATTTTTGAC